ATCAATATGTTGACATTTAATAGCATGAAAGTGGCACTGCATAATACGTAAATCCGTACAATCGCAAAAGGTCAAATCAAGGATTTTCATTGTTTAAGTGTCCAAATTGACAGTAAAATTGTATATCCCTACAATTTGTAAATGTCGGGCTCGACATTTCAAACATCTAACCCGACGATTTGTAAATGTCAAATTCGACAGTTGAACTGTCGAAAATGTTGGGAAGCAGACGGCATTACGACATTGGGTAGAACTCATTAAGTGTAATCATTACTACTGAGCAACCAAATGACAAAAAAAAAATATCAGATTGACCTTGTCATTGAAGAGATATTTAATGAAAACATTGTTTGGTTTGAATGAAAGAAATTATTTAAAACCTTAATAGTGATAATGACATTTTGTGGAGGACTCCAAAACAAAACAAATCAATGCATAATAGTTTCAAAAATTTCAAATAAATATGCCCATATTATATTTAACATTTACAAAACAAAAAGATATAGGAGTAAAATAAAAATAATTTGTAACTGCTAATATCTCAAAATGGATAAAGAATGCAACTTAAATGTCTTCTTGATCAATGAAAATGAATAAGATGGAGAAAAGTTAGGGTTTGTAGTTTATATTTCATTTTTAAATTTCTTTTACCCTTTTTTATTAACAAAAATTCATATTAATAAATAAAGTACACATTTATCCATGTTTTGCATATAGAAATTAAATCATCAAATCAAATCAATGCTTTTTCTTCAAATCAAGTATTAAATACTACTAAAAATATGTCATTGTGGGTAATTTGGACTTTTTATCCCAAAAAGTGACATTTTTGCTTACATAAAGTGAAAATGAAATTTTTTTTGGAACTTTCATTTTCCGTGACATTTTTGTAAATTTCCCTATAATTAATTACGCTAGAAATTTGCAAAGCAAAGTTTGATGTGAACTTATCTACTTGAGAAGGATGATGTCATTCTTACTAGTACTTGAGGATTACATTTTGGTCCAAAACATTTTAGGGAAATTGGCAATGTTGTCAAAGTGGGCGGGCCTAACATGAACCGCTCAAGACTGGCTGGTCAAAGTGGCCCATAAACTGAGTGGGTTGGTCCATAGGTCAATAAATGAAAAACTCAGGCCGAGCCGGTTAAAATGTTTGGACTCGACGGATAACCATTGGGCCCTTTTCACATTTAAAAATTTTAAATTTGATTTTTAAAGTTAAAATAAGTTCAAAAAATTAAAATTTAAAATTTAAAGACTATGGATAAAGCAATACAAGATTATAAAAGATAACCTTTTATAAAAGGAAACCATATATAAGGCAATAGGACATTCTTTTATTGAAAAGGCCGTCTTTTCTTAATGGATGATGAATGTTTATCAGCATACAATTTGAATTTCTAATGACTCTCCTAGGTCATGGGCAGATCTTGGGTTTAATACTTTTTGAGGAAATTACATAATATAAGACATTTAACAATTCCATTTCAAAAATCCGAGGTCAACTGTACAACTAGACAAATTCTTTCAAAAAATCAGAGTCAACTTTTAATTAATTAATGTGCCTAATCCTAATTTCAAAACCTAATTTATTCCCTGCTCTCTCTCTCTCTCTCTCTCTCTACACTCACGGTCTCTCTCACCTCTCAACAAGAAAGTCTGCCGCCTCACCTCTCAACATTCTCTTAAAACTGCCTCACCTCTCAACCTGAGAGTGCCGGCGCCGGAGTGACTTGATGTCGTCGGAGTAAAGCCCTCGCGCTCCTCCCTCTCCTCGAAGCCAACCGAAGCCACTCTCACTCCTCTCCTCTCCTTTAATGTACTGTATCTACTCGTATCTACATGCCAGAACCACCACCACTACCTCCTCCATCAAACGAGCGAAGCAGCCTGTGAATTAGTGACTGTTGCAGCAATGCCATCGCGATGTGTCTCTGGACGTGAGAGACGATCTTGCGATGTGGTGCTGCGTGTGACGTGGTTGTGTAGTGTCGTGGGCCGTGTGATGTGGTTGTGCTGGTGTTGTGTCGTGGGCTGTGGAGCGGTGGTGGTGACTTTGGTGGCATGCGGTGCTACTGTTGGTGTGTTTGGTGGCTGCAATTGTGGTCGTTTTCTGGCGGCAGTGGAGGTTGTTGGTTTCGGAGTTTAGTGTGTGGTGGTGTGGTTACTGTGACGGTGATTTTGCATTGAAGGGGTGTGGGTGGTTGCTGTGATGGTGGTTTTGTAGACCGGTGAGATGAAAGTGGTTGTGGCAGGTGGTGATTGGGGGTCGACAGGATGGGACGGGGTGTCTGTGACCAATTATTTGGTCATTTGTGACCAATAAATTCGTTTGTGACTTATAATTTATTAAGTTGTGACCATAAAATTATTTGTGACCAATTATTTTGATATAACTCGTGACTGACAAATGAATTATGACCAATTAAAATTTTGATTTTGTGACTAATCAATGAATTTTGACCTAAGAAATTTTTGATCTGTGGCTGACAAATGAGTTGTGACCAATAATAATTTTGATTTCGTGACCGATCAACAAATTGTGAGTAATGACTCCGGATTGGATACCCCGAACTAGACCTCATTTTGCCCACAATTCTCGACCTCGACCTATGACCCCCGAGTTGATCTTGGCGTGTCACGCCGGTTTAAGGTCGGGGTTTCTTTTAGGTCGAGGTTATTATCTAATTCGACCTTACCCACCGACTTAATCTCCAAAAAATAGACCCCACCTAAATCTACTCCTTCCCTGATTAGAACTCTAACAATACACTTCTAATTAAATTCCAACACCTAGTCCTAAGGGAAAAAGGACTCTTTCAGTAATAGAATCTTTCTACAGCTCCTCCACCAACACCTATAAATACTTGGTCAAGGCTCAACATCAAGGTACGTTTTTCATTACTGCAAATTCAAAACCTTCTCTCACCAATCTCTCCGTCTGACTTAAGCATCGGAGGGGCGACGAGAACACACCTCGTTGCCTTTTGTTTCAGGTATCGAAAGACTGTTCTTGCTCATTTTTGAGATCCAAGCTCGGAGTTCAAACCACAAATTCGAGGTCTATCAGGTACAATTTTTTGGTAGCATCATTGGCACCGTCTGTGGGAAGCGCTACCAAAAGCCATGGTGAATACACAATCAGGTCTTCCACCAGCAAGCTCATACACTCCAAATCCTCTCCCTGAAGATCATCCTGTCCCTTAAGAGGAATTATCAGAGATGGCAGCACCGCCACCGGCTGTCATTATCGCCGAAGCTTTTGAAGAGCTCTGCCAACAAGTTACCGCATTGACTCAGTTATTAAGTTAAAGGAACTCACACCCATCGCATACACCGACACCGGATGGTGATCTTATGGCAGCTGCTCAAGCTCGAGCTCCACAAAACATCACTGATAATGGTGTTGGAACCTCAGGTGTACCTCCTATAACCGCGACCTCAAGGGGAGTAACGATAAAGTTAGGTGAACTTATCAGAATCATCCAAGAAGGTATTGCCGCGGGCCTAGCACAAAAATCAAAGTGGATAATAGGCTTTACCCCTAGCACTCCCTTTACTCCTGAAGTATTGTCCTACCCCCTTCTAGATAGGTTCAAGTATCCCAGGATAAAGGAATATGATGGGACCACCGACCCTATCAACCATCTCAATATATATACCGATATCATGAACTTACAGGTCGCACCCGACGCTGTAATGTGCAAAGCCTTTCCTCAAACTCTTACAAGCGCAGCTAGAGATTGGTTCTCCACATTAGAGCCGAACTCTATCAATTCGTTCGTAGACTTAGCTGATAAATTCTCCACTTTCTTCATAAGCAGCAAGCGAATCAGGAAAACAACGGCATCACTTATGCAGATGCACCAGGGGCCTAATGAAACATTACGCAATTTCATGACCAGATTCAATAAAGAAAGACTTCAGATTCCAGATCTACATATTACAACTGCGGCCTCAGCTTTGACGTACGCCATAAGATGCGAAGTATTCAAGATGTCTTAGTCAAAACCCCCCCCAAAGTCAGTAACTGACCTCCTCACTCGAGCTGAGAAATACATCAATATGGAAGAAACTCTAACCCCAAGAAAAGATGCTTCACCTTTACTTAGGCCGGATAATAAGAAACCACGTGAACCCAATCAACGAGACGACACTCCTCGGGTCAAGCCAAGACAAAACCCCCAACCAGAAACCTTTACTCCCTTGAATACATCAAGGTCCAACATCCTGATGGAGATCAAGGACCTCAAAGAGCTTAAATGTCCTCCCAGAATGGGGTCATTACCTGAAAACAGAGACAAAACCAAGTACTGTGACTTTCACCGGGACCAAGGACATACCATTGAGGGCTATTTGGCTCTGAAGCAACAAATTGAGGCTCTCATTAGGAGGGATTTTTTGGGCTCTTACACTAGCCATGAAAAACGGTCGAGGAACAAGCAGAACAACGTACAGGAAGGGCGTGGTAGTGAACCACCAACGGCAGACACTATTAACGTTATTATCGGAGGAACAGCTTCAGGAGGAAACACTAACAGTGGAGGTAAATAGTATGCTAGACAGCTTCTAGCCTCCTCCAATACGGATCTTGCTCATACGAAAAATATCACCTTCGGGTCGAAGGATTTGGAAGGAATATCCTTCCCCCATGATGACGCCCTAGTCATATCAGCTATCATAGCTAACTTTGAGGTCAAGAGGATTCTCGTGGATAACGAAAGTGCAGCTAATGTACCGTCTCATGAAGCTTTTGTTCAGATGGGTATCTCAGTAGAACAACTCAAGCCTGTTAAAAGACCCTTCCAATGATTTGGTGGTGGGGTCATTACCCCTGAAGGTATTGTTGGATTACCCATGACTTTGGGATCTAAAGGTCGGCAGGTAACCCATATCATAACTTTCGAAGTTGTCCGAACTCCGATGGCCTACAACGCCATTCTGGGAAGGCCATTGCTAAATAAAATCAGAGCTGTTATCTCAACTTTTCACCGGCCATGCCACTCGGGTTAAAGAACGCAGGGGCTACATATCAGAGGCTAACCAACAAAGTCTTTGCTGATTTGATTGGAAAAACCATTGAGGCTTACGTAGATGACATGGTGGTCAAAAGTAAACAAGTGGATGATCATATTACCGATCTTGAAAAAGTGTTTTCCACGCTGCGGAAATACAACATGAAGCTTAACCCGACAAAATGTGCCTTTGGGGTAGCATCAGGAAAGTTTCTAGGTTTTATGATCACAAATAGAGGAATAGAAGCCAACCCTGACAAAATCCAAGCCCTATATCTATGGAACCCCCAAAGAGCAAAAAGGACATCCAAAAGCCTACAGGTCGGGTAGCAGCATTGAACAGATTTGTCTCTCAAGCAGCGGACAGATGTTTCCCCTTTTTCAAAGTTCTAAAAGGCCATCAGAGCTTTGAATGGAATGATGAATGCGATCTAGCCTTCCAACAGCTTAAGCAAACTTTAGCTGTACCTCCGGTTCTTGCCAAACTAGAGCCTGGTGATACTTTGTTCCTTTACTTGGCTGTCTCTCGAAATGCTGTAAGTGGGGTGCTAGTAAAGGAAAAAGGAAAAGTGCGCAACCCATCTACTATGTCAGTAAAGTGTTTCTTGACACCAAAACTCGATATACCCTTGCGGAACAGTTAGCTCTTGCCTTGATAGTAACTACTAGAAAGTTGCGGCAATATTTCCAATCTCACCCCATAATAGTTCTCACCAATCAACCACTCAAGCACATACTTCACAGGCCAGATGTCTCAAGAAGGTTATTAAAGTGGGTAATCGAGCTTGGCGAGTTCGATATAGAATTCAAGCCTTGACTTTCTATCAAGGCACAGGATCTAGCCAACTTCATAGTTGAACTCACTCCAAAAACACAAGGGCCTGAAATAAAAAAACTCGAGCACAACCTCGAAAACTTGGGAGATAATTGTTGATGGGGCATCAAACAGCTTGGGCTCGGGGGCCGGGATAATTATCATCAGCCTGGACAAGGCCACTGAAGTTTAATGCGCACTTAGGTTTGAGTTTAAAGCAACCACAACGAAGTGAAGTATGAAGCCGTGGTCATTGGTCTCGAACTTACCAGAAGTTTGGAATTAGAGCATATCAGAGTCTTCGGCGACTCACAGCTCGTTGTTGGACAGATCAAAGGATCCTTTGAAAGGAATGATGAAAAGATGAGCTTGTACTGCCTAAAAGTGCATGATCTTCAGAGACAGTTCACAAGTTGTGAAATATTGAAAATAGCAAGAGAAGATAACTCCAAAGCTGACACACTATCCAGACTCATTTTCATGAGGATAGATGGACTTGACAGAACAGTACACATCAAGATTGTCATAGAGCCTAGCATAAACGCGAAGCCGAGCATCATGGACATTGACCATGAGCCTTCCTGGATTGATCCAATAGTTGAGTATGTAAGTAATGGAAACCTACCTCCTGACCCTCACGCCGCAAGGAGTATTCAGGCCAAAGCTGCTAGGTATTGTATTATCAGAGGGGTGCTATTTCGAAGAAGTTTCACACTCCCCTATCTGAGATGCCTCAAACCTTTCGAATCTCTCCAAGCCCTGACTGAGGTTCACGAGGGAATATGCGAAAATCAACAGGGAGGTAGAGCCCTTGCCTACAAATCAATAAGGTATGGGTACTACTGGCCAACTATAAAGAAAGATGCAGCTGAATATGTCAAAAGATGTGACAAGTGTCAGAGGTTTGGTAATGCTATATATGCCCCTGCAGAAGAGTTGACCTCTATCCATTATTCGGCACCATTTGAACAATGGGGAGTAGACATCCTTGGGCCTTTCCCCATGGCTCGAGGACAGTTAAAATTTGTTGTGGTAGCAGTTGAGTACTTCACAAAGTGGGTAGAAGCCGAACCCCTAGCAAAAATATCAGAAGCCAAGCTCAGATCATTTGTATGGAAGTCGATTGTATGTAGGTTTGGAATACCCAAAGTACTTATAACAGATAATGGAAGGCAGTTCGACAATTCACAATTCAGAAACTTCTGTTTCAATCTCGGGATTTACCATCGTTTGACGTCAGTATCGCACCCCCAAAGCAATGGCCTTACTGAAGTGACAAATAGGATCATACTTCAGGACCTTCACACTAGGATAGGAAACGCAAGAGGTGACTGGCCCGATGAGTTTTCGTCCATACTGTGGGCGTATAAAACTTCTCATAAAACAGCAATAGGTGAGACTCCTTTCATGTTGGCCTTCGACTTAGAGGCCACTATCCCCATCGAAGTCAGTCTCCCCACTTTAAGGAGAGTTGAACCCGGCATGGAGGACCAAACAACCGAACATCTTGACTTACTTGAAGAAGTAAGGTAGCAAGCTTCACTGAGAGCTGCCAGTTACCAAAATAAAACGGCAAAGTACTTCAACACCAAAGTCAAGTCCCGAGAATTTAAGAGTGGCGATTTGGTTCTAAGAAGAGCAGAAGCTGCTGGACACCCTCCAGGTAAACTTGGACCGGTATGGGAAGGGCCATTCGAAGTCATACGAAGGATCAAAGGCAAAGCATACAGCCTTAGAGACACTTCGAAAAATCCACTCCCAAGGCCTTGGAATGCAGATAACTTAAAAATATATTACAAGTAGAATAGCAATAGCGTCGTACTAGGGCTTGCACGCCCACCTTATTTTTATTTTTTCAGTAGCTCGGGTTTATGCACCCTTGAGCATTTTGTTTTCAGTAGCTCGGGTTTATGTACCCTTGAGCATTTTTTCAGTAGCTCGGGGCTAATTACCCTTGAGCACATAATAATATTCAAGTTTTTTCCTACTAGCACTACTTAAACTTTAGCGTAACGACGTGCTTCGGGCATGCAGCCAATTCTTCAACATTAGTGTAATGACGTGCTATGGGCATGCAGCTAATAACTTTGGCGTAATGACGTGCTTCGAGCATGCAACCGACTCTTCAACATTAGTGTAATGACGTGCTTCGGGCATGTAGCCAACTCCTTAACATTAGTGTAATGACGTGCTACGGGCATGCAGCTAATAACTTTGGCATAATGACGTGCTCCGAGCATGCATCCAACTCTTTAACGTAATGACGTGCCTCGATCATGCAGCCGACCCCGTGCTCTAAAAGCAGCAACATTGGGTCTGACATACAAACTCGAGCTCATGAGCTCCGACCTCTCTTGCATTTAAAATCAACAATGGCTAAGTTCGGGGTCGGGCCTTTTCATATGATTTAGATCGAACCCGACCCCCTCTGCGACCTAGAAATGGTCTTGAAGATCATACGTGACAATAACTCCATATAACGACTGCGACCTTTAACAATCGAATTCACAGGAGGCAGATCACACACGAGCCCAGTGCCTTTTACATAGCAAGACGACTATAACTTGGGTGTTTTAAGCTCATGGTGTCTTGTTGTGCAAAAGCCCCTAAGCTCGACCTCGATGAGTACATCAAGATTCGAGCTCAAACATGCCTGATGTTCAACGTCGAAGTATTGGTCGAATTCAAAAGCGTTGTGCATTGAATGAAAACATAAGTAATATGCATGAATGTTCATCGATTAAATTAAAAACAAATACAAGTAATGTGCACGAACATTCATCGATGAAATTAAAAACAAAAGTACTGAGCCCAGTTCGGGCAATATTGCAAAAAATTTC